GGCCCGGGTTCGATTCCCGGCTGGACCATATGAGTAGAGTTGTGCGTTAGTTCTCTGCTGTGCTACTAGGGTTTTTCTCCGGGCCTCCGGTTTTTCTCCCGAAGAAAAAAAACACAACAACACTTTTGATCTCTTGCTGTACCCCGTGGTCAAACAAGGGTCATATGGCTGGCCACCAGAGGTGCCTTGTCGTGCTGCAGCACGACCACGTTGTAGCATTGTCCTTTGCAATTCAGCTCCTGAGCTGTGTATTCCAAGGAAAACAATACAGGGTGAGTAGAAAAAAAACGAAACCCCAATGTAGGGACCATTGTTTTAGTGAAGTTCTGCATGTAGCACTGTCAAAATGTAGGATATGAAAGTCCAACTCATAAGCTTTCTTTAGGTACATGAATCATTCAAATCACTCATGTACTTTTCAAGTTACGGAGTTTTAAACACAAACGCTGTGTTAAGGTTTTGTCCACAAATTACAAAAAAGGTCAGTGTTCTTTAGCAAAACGAAAACAAAATCACATAAGGATGTGTGGCAATTGTTTTTGTTTCACTGAAAGAACGCACATCTTTTTTGTGATCTGCTGACAGAACTTTAAAACGACGGTTGTGTTAAAACTCCATAACTTGAAAAGTGCATCAGTGATTTGAATGATTCTTGTACTAAAAGAATGCTTATCAATTGGGCTTTCATATCCTAGATTTTGAAAGTGCTACATGCAGAACTTCACTAAAACAAGGTCCCGACATTTGGGTTTCCTTTTTTTTTTACTCACTCCGTACTCTAGAATCCTGATTTCAATTCAAAGTTGCCGAGAAATGTTTTTGAATTTCTCCTGAAATCAGGTCTGGGAAACGTTCTCATTCAGCCGATAGCAGTTACACGGTGTCATGCACTGAACCAACGAATAGCAACGATGCATGCGTGTCAATGCTTGCGCGCACCCATTAAAAATGAACTACTTGTACTAAAACAGAAATTTTCAAAAATGCGTCTGTAGACGCATCTGTGGAAATGATCTTCTTTTATTGTTTTCTTAAAAACAACAGCATGTCAGAAAGAATGATTTCACAGGGATTTTAGTACCATTACTATCTTTAAACAAGTATGCTTTTCAACAACATTTTTGCCAGTAACTTTGTCGACAGCTGCAAATGATGTACTCTACCTTTAACAGATGCATCTGTTTATCCTTTCATTAGATGATGAACCGCCCAAGATAGCCTGCCCAACAGGTGTTCTCCTGGACATCCCAGATGGAGTTGTTACTGGGCCGTCTCCCTGCCAGCCCCTGATGTCACAGATAACGTACCAGGGGAGATACTCATTGAGACGACTCCTGCCAATAACTCGCAATTTCCCGCGGTGGAGTCGACTATCGTCACCTACTTGCCACAGACAGGGCAGGGAATGTGGCATCCTGCAACATAACAGTCTTCATTGAAGGTGACAGACAGACTAGTATGACTCGTGACTCAGTTTTCCACTTTCGTGACTCTGACTCTGACTCGAGTCATGAAGGCAAATGACTCGGACTCGGGTCACTAAGACAAATGACCCGGACTCGGACTCAAAGCCTTAGTGTCCTACATCTTTAGAGCTGTTATTTCGTTCTGTTTGCTAACTGTTTTCTGGGGTTTTTGGTGTCATAGATGTATTCGATTAATGGATATACCTATGACACTCTTTCGTACTTACCCACCAATGAAATCTTCTTAGCACTAAGAAATTCTTACCTTCTTACCTAATTCTTGTGTTTATTCGAAATGGAGGAAAAAGCAAGAATCTATGCATTGTAATGTTTTTTTTTTGGCTTGGTTTTCAATTATTTGTCATTCAGACCTGTCTATTTTTTGTGGAAATAGTTACTAAAAAAAAAAAATATAATAATAAATTAAAAATATACTGATGGGATCCAGGACAGTTCTGCGAGACCACTGATAATTGGTCCCAGCTCAATTCGAAATGCCCGTTCAATTTGGTTTTGTCTCGTCGTCTCCGAGTTTCAAATCCGTTTTACATTTTGCTTTTTGGCAGATAACATCCCGCCGGTGTTGACATGCCCAGACAACATGACAATGCCCACGCTTTTCAACCGATCCTACGGGCCGGTATCCTGGCCAAACCCAACCGCCACAGACAACATTCCTGATCTGCCAATCGCAATAACCTCGGGACATCCAACAGGGGGCGCTGTTTCCCTTAGGCCCGGTCACTATCGAAACTGATAGGGACCGACTCGGCGGGAAATAATGGTTCCTGTCATTTCACCATAACGATAATCGGTAAGATAACTCATATTATGAATGTATGGCGATAACCCAATAGCTCCCAGTTGGACATCTGTAGATTTAGAGGTACACTACAGCGGTGTTAAATTTAACACCATTGGGATCTATGCAGGACCATCTGGTGTTGGATTTTACTCGAGTTGTGCTATGGCCTTTGTGCACAAGTACCCCTTCAATGGCCTAGGAGAGTTGGGGGAGACCTAGAATGGTTCCCGGTCCATCCACTGCGTATTTTGAATGATCCAAAGTTATTGGGGGTGGGTATTAGTCTGGGAGACCATCGCCAGTTAAATTTGAAAGCATTTGTGCGCCGAGGACGCCTGACGCCCACGCGAAAGAATTTTCAACAATAATAGGGCCTAGATGCCATATGTAACATAAAGAAGTCGGTGGTAAACATCAGGCGATTTAAGAAACTTTGGTGTAATGTCCTCAATGATCACTAGTCAATCACAAGTCAATCACATGTCAATCACATTTCAATCACATTTCAATATAGGTCAATCACAACTCAAAAGCAGGTCAATCACTAGTCAATCACCAGTCAATTTCAAGTCAATCACAATCCAAGCACAAATCAATTACAAGTCAAGCACATGTCTGGACACAAGTCATCACAAGTTAATCACAAGTCAATCACAAGTCAATCACTAGTCAATCACAAGTCAACCACTAGTCAATCACAAGTCAATCTTTAGTCAATCACAAGTCATCACTAGTCAATCATAGTCAATCAGTAGTCAATCACAAGTCAATCACAAGTCCAATCACAAGTCAATCACAAGACAATCACAAGTCAATCACTAGTCAATCACTAGTCAATCACAAGTCAATCACAAGTCCATCACTAATTAATCACAATTCAATCACAGGTCCATCACATGTCAATCACAAGTCAATCAGAAGTCAATCAAAACACAAAAATACATACGGTATTCTTTGTAGAGAAACATTTGAGTACGTGAGAAAGATTATTGTTTATGTTATATTTAAAATGATATTTATTTTTGGCTTTTTCATCAACGGTGCTTATTGTTCCTCGCAGACATTGAAAATCCTGTTATTTACGGATGTCCGGGGAATTTGAACTATACCACTGATCTCGGAGAGCCCTTTGGACGTGCATCCTACGATGAACCGACAGCTGTCGACAATTCAGGATCGGTTCGAGGTGATAGGACTTCAAAGGAGCAACATATTCGAGATCGGGCCGACAGAGGTAGTTTACGTCGCCGTCGACGAAGCACTAAATCTGGCAGAGTGTCGTTTTTACAGTTACAGTTTATGGTAAGTGAATGAAAAAAAGATGGCAATCCAAAGTCAATCACAAATCAAATACAAAGCAGTCGCAACTTGACAGAATTGACTTTCTTTACACGAGAGATTACTTCAAAATGTCTTTGCTTTTAATTTGCAGACATGGAAAGCCCTGATGTTCAGAACTGCCCGTCAGACTTTGAGGTCTTCGTCATGCAGCTTTCGATGTCGAGCACCGTCACCGTTGGGTGGCAGGAACCAGACTTCACCGATAACTCCGGCATTGAGGTTGCCGTGAGTTCCACTCCCATTTCCAACAATCAGATGCAGTCTGTGGGGACTTATCCAGTGACTATAACTGGGGCGGATCCTTCGGGCAATACTGCAGTCTGCACGTCATGGTGGAAGTCCGTGGTGGGTAGTACTACTTGATTTTTGTTTTGCCACAAGTATGAGATGAACTAAAAGGGAATGTACAACATTTGCTTTGCTGGAATTTCAGAAACAAATGGATTTGGAGGATTAATATGTTAGAGGAAAAAATTGTTAAACTGACTTGTTTCACGTTTGGGCTTGTAGATGCTGGAAAAACCAAGAAAACCAATCATGTTCTTGTAGTCTGGTTCCCTGACCCCATTTAAGATGAAATGGAGCAATTAATTCACTTTGGGGAATTGTAAGGTCAGAGAATCACTCTAACAGGCTTGTACCCCTTCATAGGTGTGTAATCAATTGCAAAGAAAAGTCAGAATAACTAAAATATGAAAAATTAGGAACAGTTGTTGGAAAAAAGCCAGTTTTCTCCAACGCTGGTCGGCCGACCAGCGTTAGAAAAAAAACAGTTTTCTCTTCAAAATGTCAGCACACCAGGAACCACGATTTTAAAGGATGCTTTAGAATGTCAGTAATGTATTTCGTGATAATTTGATATTTGTTTTTTGGTGTTTGCAAATGTTGTATCTTCCCTTTAAACCAATGATGCATACTTTAATCTGCAAATACATGAACTTGAAAGATTAGGAATAGTTACGAGAAGACTACAGATTTTAGACTTTGCATGGTGGAGTATCATTGTAGTTTCAGTTTGCTGTAACACCATGAGGTGATAACTACTGTCGCTTAGTAGATTCAGTTGTGATAAGAACAGTCCGGCTTAGTTCTAAAAGGACCTTGTCCTGTTTTATTATCTACTTTCCTGTGTTGAAGGACTCATACTCGTACTCTAATCGTACTCGAATGTCAAAGTACTCGTACTTGAAATGATGGTACTCGTACTGGGGCAGCAAAGTACTCATACTTGACATGTCGAAATTGTACTCGATCATCAAAGTGCTTGTACTTGAATAGCAGTACTCAAAAATAATGTGGTATAGCTTGACTCACCAGGCCATATTTATCGATACTTCCATTTTTGAAATTGTTGATTGGCTTGTGGAGAATCAAAGTTTCCTGATTTTCCTCTGTGCACGTCTGGACAAACACATCTAACAGCTAGTCGTGAGTGGGTCTGTATATCGGTCTAACTGGGCCTGGGCCAAGTACGCACAATAACCATTCGCTGTATGGCCGTATTCAGAAAAACAAGGACTTGTACTTGTACTTGGAATACAAGTACTCGTACTCGGAAGTACAAGTACTCGTAATCGTACTTGTAATCGGGAGTACAAGTACTCATACTCGGAGACCTGTACTATACTCCGAAGTACAAGTACTCATACTTGTACTCGGTTACCTAAGTACTTGGCAGTACTCGGCAGTACTCGGAACTTGGAAAAAAGTACTCGGAACTTGGAAAAAGTACTCGACTACAACACTGCTACTTGGGTGGCTTGTGCGTAAGCACTTGCCTCTCACCAAGGTGACCACGGTTCGAATCCTGGCCGCGGATCGCATGTGAGTAGAGTTGTGCGTTGGTTCTCTCCTGTGCCACGAGGGTTTTTCTCCGGGCCATCCGGTTTTCCTCCCTCCGGAAAAATCAAACACTTTCGATCTCAGGCTGTGCTCCGTGGTCATATATGGGTCGATGTGGCCGGCAGCCATAGGCGCCTTCATGTGCCAGCGGCCCGACCACGTTGTAGCCGCATCCTTCGCAATTCAGCATACCAGCTGTGAGTAAGGATGATTAGCCTCCCAAATTATTATTGTTATTAATATTATTACTTTCGCTAAGTACGTTTGAAAGGTGGTGGGACTTCTCGCATTTATCTTCACTGAGGCTGAGTGAGATAAGTTTTGGACATTTCGACTAGCTGCTCTAGTCATCGTCTGGAGACTAAGGAGAGTTGGAGATGCTGCTCCTTAAAGTAGGCTGTGTTACGATTGGGAGTGTGAATGGGATGTGTTATGACTGGTGCTCGTGTTGGTGGATTCTGATTGGTTGTCTGCTGGGCATTGTGTTTAATCAGACTGTTCTTATCAGATCTAAATGTACTAAGCGAACGGTACCGTAGTTATTACCACATGGTGTTACCGCAAACCGAAACTAGACAAGAAGATTTGATCGTGAACAACAGTTTAAATGCTTTTTCATCAATGATAAACCAGTCGTTCTGTTTGAGGCGTGCGATCACATCCCCACGCCATCACACGCCTAAAAGCCTTCCAAGAAGTGCGAATAATCGCATAATCAAATAATCGTACTGCACACCTCAGCATACATTTACAGCATAATTTTATTTCATAATTTGTGAAAAATAAAGTACGTCAGTGAAGAGAAAATGGTTTTATTGTAAACCAAGATGAATACATGTATTATGAAATGTATCCCAGCTTGGACCATAGAATCACACACCTAGAAAAATCACTCGCCTAGAAAATCACACGCCTAGAAAAATCACACGCCTAAAAAAATCCAGGTGTGCTTTTTTCCACACACCTGTGATTTTCAAATCAGAAGGACTGATAAACTGGCTATACAACCAGCGGCAGCGGAATGGCTTTCAAACTGGGGGGAGGGGGCATCACTAAAAAAGGGCACTTGCTCATTAAAAGGCAGCTTCCTTTGGTAGAGCAGCATGTCAAAGGCCATCTAGGGTCACATCCACCATGCCAGGGGGATCATTTTACGTGCTGTATTTTTGAACTTTCTAGCGTACGACATGACACCTCCTCACTTCGATAACGACTGTCCGGCGAGGTTTTCCTTCGACAACGACCCTGGTTCAGATTCCTGGTTCTTGAGGATCACCACGTGGTAGCGATAGATGACAATAGCGGGTTAGCAACTGTTGTTACACCAACGAGTTGTCTTCTTATCCTATCGGTTTGACGGAGGTCTCGGTGTATGCAGAGGACAGCGCTGGTAACAACGCTACCTGCAGCTACATCATTGAAGTCGTCGGTACGTTTGCCACAATGTAATATATAAATAATATTCATAAATACCTAAGACAGTTCACCCATTCCTATTGGTTGAGAGCCCGTCACGTGGCTGGTCTTAACGGATGATAAAGACATGGTAGCTGGTCTTATAAACGCTTTCCAGTGTCACATGAAATTTGGACTTCTAAAAATCCAGTGCCTCTTACTGTTTTTTTTTGGTTGAACGTTCGTAATACTCACGTAGGCATGCCCAGTACTACCAGTGGGTCAGTATTTTATAGTCCTAAATTCACAACGCAACAACACCAGTTGATAAAGACACCGTGATGGTGTCGCAAGCTCCTGATACGAGCTCTGTGATCAAGTCCCAAAAAGGTATCTTTATTTACTGGTATCAATGTGTTATGTGAAATTAAAAAATGACAGTTTAAAAAAAAACTAGACTTGACACAACTTTACGGAGGATAGATCTTTTGATATTTTGTTGTTGTTGCTATGTTCTCTCAGATGTTGATCCTCCCAACATCACCAACGGCTGTCCTGGTGACATCATAATAAACACAGCCCTTGGAGAAGCTGTCGGGTATCCAACATGGACAACTCCTGAAGCGACCGATAATTCAGGTCAGAAAATAGCCTTGGTCAAGGCGCTCGTCATTCTTCGACGTAACGCGGTAAACGATCGGCGGCATATTCTCGCTATGCATTGCATTAAAATTACAACGCAGGACAGCAACCTCATTAGTCATGCGGCCACTATTTTATGCAAATCATTTGGATCCCGACGAACGCCTTGGTCCAATCCTCCATGTGAGGTTTTGGGGGTGGTGCTCATTATGCGAATAGCCTAACCTTAAAAGTCGTTTTCTTATTGGTCGATTCGTTGCGTGGAAACTTGCATATAGTTAGCTAGCGGTGGTACCGGCCGGCGAGACATGTACCGTACATAACACATACACAATGTTGTGTGTCGATGTCTCACATTACACACAGCACCAATGCACAAAAAATGTGGTTTCTGACACGTCCGCAAAAGGGCGAATAGCTGCAAATGATTTGATGACGTCGAGATTTAACAACGTGTGATTGGACACTCCACATATGAGCCCCGACTACACTTATCTGTATTCACATATGAGGTCGTTCGCTGGAAATCTAGCGCAAAATAAAGAAAAACGTAAGCTTTCACGGATGATTGGACCAAATGATTGCATAAAATTAGTGGCAGCATGAATTTTTAATGCACTGCATAACGAGGATATGCCGCCGATCGTTTACCGCGAACGGACGAATAAAGACGACGCCTTGACCAAAGCTAGTCAGAAAACTGCAAATGAATTTCTTAATGTTGAATGGATCGTCTTTGAAATTAACTTCAATCCTTGCACATATACAGGAGCCATTTCTT